GTGTTGGAGGGAGGATGGAAGTGTAGTGTAGATAAAAGTATGTGTTGGAGGGAGGATGGATGGAAGTGTTGGAGGGAGAATGGAAGTGTGGTGTAGATAAAAGTATGTGTTGGAGGGAGGATGGAAGTGTAGTGTAGATAAAAGTATGTGTTGGAGATAAAAGTATGTGTTTGGAGGGAGGATGGAAGTGTAGTTTAGATAAAAGTATGTGTTGGAGGGAGGATGGAAGTGTAGATAAAAGTATGTGTTGGAGGGAGGATGGAAGTGTAGTGTAGATAAAAGTATGTGTTGGAGGGAGGATGGAAGTGTAGTGTAGATAAAAGTATGTGTTGGAGGGAGGATGGAAGTGTAGTGTAGATAAAAGTATGTGTTGGAGGGAAAGTGTAGTGTAGTATGTGTTGGAGGGAGGATGGAAGTGTAGTGTAGATAAAAGTATGTGTTGGAGGGAGGATGGAAGTGTAGTGTAGATAAAAGTATGTGTTGGAGGGAGGATGGAAGTGTAGGAGAATTAGATAAAAGTTTGTGTTGGAGGGAGGATGGAAGTGTAGTGTAGATAAAAGTATGTGTTGGAGGGAGGATGGAAGTGTAGTGTAGATAAAAGTATGTGTTGGAGGGAGGATGGAAGTGTAGTGTAGATAAAAGTATGTGTTGGAGGGAGGATGGAAGTGTAGGAGAATTAGATAAAAGTATGTGTTGGAGGGAGGATGGAAGTGTAGTGTAGATAAAAGTATGTGTTGGAGGGAGGATGGAAGTGTAGGAGAATTAGATAAAAGTATGTGTTGGAGGGAGGATGGAAGTGTAGGAGAATTAGATAAAAGTATGTGTTGGAGGGAGGATGGAAGTGTAGGTGTAGATAAAAGTATGTGTTGAGGGAGGATGGAAGTGTAGGAGAATTAGATAAAAGTATGTGTTGGAGGGAGGATGGAAGTGTAGGAGAATATGTGTTGGAGATAAAAGTATGTGTTTGGAGGGAGGATGGAAGTGTAGGAGTTAGATAAAAGTATGTGTTGGAGGGAGATAAAAGTATGTGTTGGAGGGAGGATGGAAGTGTAGGAGAATTAGATAAAAGTATGTGTTGGAGGGAGGATGGAAGTGTAGTGTAGATAAAAGTATGTGTTGGAGGGAGGATGGAAGTGTAGTGTAGATAAAAGTATGTGTTGGAGGGAGGATGGAAGTGTAGTGTAGATAAAAGTATGTGTTGGAGGGAGGATGGAAGTGTAGTGAGAATTAGATAAAAGTATGTGTTGGAAGATATGTGTTGGAGGGAGGATGGAAGTGTAGGAGAATTAGATAAAAGTATGTGTTGGAGGGAGGATGGAAGTGTAGGAGAATTAGATAAAAGTATGTGTTGGAGGGAGGATGGAAGTGTGGTGTAGATAAAAGTATGTGTTGGAGGGAGGATGGAAGTGTAGGAGAATTAGATAAAAGTATGTGTTGGAGGGAGGATGGAAGTGTAGTGTAGATAAAAGTATGTGTTGGAGGGAGGATGGAAGTGTAGGAGTATTAGATAAAAGTATGTGTTGGAGGGAGGATGGAAGTGTAGTGTTGGAGATGGAAGTGTAGTGTAGATAAAAGTATGTGTTGGAGGGAGGATGGAAGTGTAGTGTAGATAAAAGTATGTGTTGGAGGGAGGATGGAAGTGTAGTGTAGATAAAAGTATGTGTTGGAGGGAGGATGGAAGTGTAGTGTTGGAGGGAGGAATTAGATAAAAGTATGTGTTGGAGGGAGGATGTGAGTGTGTTGGAGGGAGGATGGAAGTGTAGAAAACTTAAAGTATGTGTTGGAGGGAGGATGGAAGTGTAGGAGAATTAGATAAAAGTATGTGTTGGAGGGAGGATGGAAGTGTAGTGTAGATAAAAGTATGTGTTGGAGGGAGGATGGAAGTGTAGTGTAGATAAAAGTATGTGTTGGAGGGAGGATGGAAGTGTAGGAGAATTAGATAAAAGTATGTGTTGGAGGGAGGATGGAAGTGTAGGAGAATTAGATAAAAGTATGTGTTGGAGGGAGGATGGAAGTGTAGTGTAGATAAAAGTATGTGTTGGAGGGAGGATGGAAGTGTAGTGTAGATAAAAGTATGTGTTGGAGGGAGGATGGAAGTGTAGTGTAGATAAAAGTATGTGTTGGAAAGGAGGATGGAAGTGTAGTGTAGATAAAAGTATGTGTTGGAGGGAGGATGGAAGTGTAGTATAGATAAAAAAGTATGTGTTGGAGGGAGGATGGAAGTGTAGGAGATGTAGATAAAAGTATGTGTTGGAGGGAAAGTGTAGGAGAATAGATAAAAGTATGTGTTGGAGGGAGGAGGAGGATGGAAGTGTAGTGTAGATAAAAAAGTATGTGTTGGAGGGAGGATGGAAGTGTAGTGTAGATAAAAGTATGTGTTGGAGGGAGGATGGAAGTGTAGTGAGATAAAAGTATGTGTTGGAGGGAGGATAGATAAAAAAGTATGTGTTGGAGGGAGGATGTAAGTGTTGGAGGGAGGATGGAAGTGTAGGAGAATTAGATAAAAGTATGTGTTGGAGGGAGGATGGAAGTGTAGGAGAATTAGATAAAAGTATGTGTTGGAGGGAGGATGGAAGTGTAGTGTAGATAAAAGTATGTGTTGGAGGGAGGATGGAAGTGTAGTGTAGATAAAGATAAAAGTATGTGTTGGAGGGAGGATGGAAGTGTAGTGTAGATAAAAGTATGTGTTGGAGGGTGGATGGAAGTGTGGTGTAGATAAAAGTATGTGTTGGAGGGAAGATGGAAGTGTAGGAGAATTAGATAAAAGTATGTGTTGGAGGGAGGATGGAAGTGTGGTGTAGATAAAAGTATGTGTTGGAGGGAGGATGGAAGTGTAGTGTAGATAAAAGTATGTGTTGGAGGGAGGATGGAAGTGTAGTATAGATAAAAAAGTATGTGTTGGAGGGAGGATGGAAGTGTAGTGTAGATAAAAGTATGTGTTGGAGGGAGGATGGAAGTGTCGGAGTATGAGATAAAAGTATGTGTTGGAGGGAGGATGGAAGTGTAGATAAAAGTATGTGTTGGAGGGAGGATGGAAGTGTAGTGTAGATAAAAGTATGTGTTGGAGGGAGGATGGAAGTGTAGTGTAGATAAAAGTATGTGTTGGAGGGAGGATGGAAGTGTAGTGTAGATAAAAGTATGTGTTGGAGGGAGGATGGAAGTGTAGAATAAATAAAAAAAAGTGTCAGTTGGAGGGAGGATGGAAGTGTAGGAGAATTAGATAAAAGTATGTGTTGGAGGGAGGATGGAAGTGTGGTTTTAGATAAAAGTATGTGTTGGAGGGAGGATGGAAGTGTGGTGTAGATAAAAGTATGTGTTGGAGGGAGGATGGAAGTGTAGGAGAATTAGATAAAAGTATGTGTTGGAGGGAGGATGGAAGTGTAGGAGAATTAGATAAAAGTATGTGTTGGAGGGAGGATGGAAGTGTAGTGTAGATAAAAGTATGTGTTGGAGGGAGGATGGAAGTGTAGTGTAGATAAAAGTATGTGTTGGAGGGAGGATGGAAGTGTAGGAGAATTAGATAAAAGTATGTGTTGGAGGGAGGATGGAAGTGTAGGAGAATTAGATAAAAGTATGTGTTGGAGGGAGGATGGAAGTGTAGTGTAGATAAAAGTATGTGTTGGAGGGAGGATGGAAGTGTAGTGTAGATAAAAGTATGTGTTGGAGGGAGGATGGAAGGGTAGTGTATTAGATAAAAGTATGTGTTGGAGGGAGGATGGAAGTGTAGTGTAGATAAAAGTATGTGTTGGAGGGAGGATGGAAGTGTAGTGTAGATAAAAGTATGTGTTGGAGGGAGGATGGAAGTGTAGTGTAGATAAAAGTATGTGTTGGAGGGAGGATGGAAGTGTAGTGTAGATAAAAGTATGTGTTGGAGGGAGGATGGAAGTGTGGTGTAGATAAAAGTATGTTTTGGAGGGAGGATGGAAGTGTAGGAGAATTAGATAATAGTATGTGTTGGAGGGAGGATGGAAGTGTAGTGTAGATAAAAGTATGTGTTGGAGGGAGGATGGAAGTGTAGTGTAGATAAAAGTATGTGTTGGAGGGAGGATGGAAGTGTAGTGTAGATAAAAGTATGTGTTGGAGGGAGGATGGAAGTGTAGTAAACTTCGTGAATGTCAACACATCCTGGGACTGGCTACATAAATACAACATGTTGACACTGATGATAACAAACAAACTGCGTGAAATGAACCCATCCTGGGACAGGCTATGTAAATACAACATGTTGACACTGATGATAACAAACAAACTGCGTGAAATTAACACACCCTGGGACTAGCTATGTAAATAAAACATGGTGTCACTGAAGATGTCACACGATACAGAGACCAACATTTACGATGATGTCAGATAATGAAGTTAAGATCAACTGAATTGTGAATTGTTTATGAATAGTCAAGATAAAATACACATGAGGACAGCTTTGTCTTGTAGACAAGATAATACACATATGAGGACACCTTTATCATGTACTCAAAACACTGCGCAGACATTTGTACCGAGAAGAAAAAAAAAAGGAAAAATAGTTTAAATCTGGTGGCCAACTTGATGTTTAGTAAAACATTTTGTGCAATAATTAGTATGAATATTTCATACAATAAATGCCTTAATATACAAATGTAGATGTTTTTGCCTCCCGGTATTTTTTTCGATGCAAATTCAATATCACAGCTCAATAGATATACTGAAAGTTTCAAATATGTGGATTCCATTGAAATATTACAGTATTCATTTCTCCCACTCAGAGTTATTCCAATAAAGTTTCTCGGTACTGAACAGTTTTTTTTATATGTTGTGTAAGTGGTGCTGAAGGAGATGCAACCAAATTACATGTGTACAGTAATGTTTGAGTCAAGTCACATATTTTACTGATAAATTCCTGGCGGTAAATTCCCCGAAACATTTACCATGATCAGAAGCCTTAAGAGACATACAAATACAATTCATGTGCACGTGAGGAAACATTTCAAATGCATTATCTGTTGATTTTCATTTAAAAGATGTGACATTAGCACATATAGGGCCTAAATGCCTGCGGGGTATGAGGAGTCCATTGAGATACTACCAGATAGGGCCAAAATGCCTGCGAGGCATGAGGAGTCCATTGAGATACTACCAGATAGGGCCAAAATGCCTGCGGGACATGAGGAGTCCATTGAGATACTACCAGATAGGGCCTAAATGCCTGCGGGCATAAGGAGCCCATTGAGATACTACCAGATAGGGCCAAAGTGCCTGCGGGGCATGAGGAGCCCATTGAGATACTACCAGATAGGGCCAAAATGCTTGTGAGGCATGAGGAGCCCATTGAGATACTACCAGATAGGGCAAAAATGCCTGCGGGGCATGAGGAGCCCATTGAGATACTACCAGAGAGAATGCCACCATTCCACATACATCACGTCCAAAAGACACATGGACCAATGAATTGTTATAAAATGTAAAATTTAGAACAGTATCGGCCATCCCTCAGCCTCAGCAACTGTAAAATCAAGCCGATCTTAGAGGAAGCCTTGGACCTCCTGAAAGGACCTTGCTTTCAGTGACTCCTCCAATTATGAGGACCCCAATCCATACCACACAGAGTATAATGAAACCGTGGACCTTCTGAAAGGACCTTGCTTTAAGTGACCCCTCCAGCGAGGAGGACCCCAATCCATACTACACAGTGAAATGATGAGCCTAGCAGAGCCACCTAGATCATCAGACAGCATGCCCACCATCTGCATTGACGAGTTCCCCAGTATGTAACCTCACACTGGAAACTGTGTATACAGCATATTTCAAGGACTGTTTGATCTCTTTCATCACTAGTTGAACTTTCTTTATAGACTATACTTCCAAATGCTCATTCATAAGTTAACCACATTCAAGTTTGTTTAAAATAATGACTTTTTTAATATTCGACTTTCATTCATTTTAAACCACTTTCTATATTGTTGTATTTAAAGCATCAATTGTAACATCTATTTTTAAACTTACTTGCCTGAACAACTTCAATGTAAATGAAACCGGTCAATCATCACTATGTAACAAATAAATACAAGAATCGACTGTGATGTGTCGAGGTTGTATTATCATATTTCACTTCAGATTATTGAAGGATATTACAGGTAATGCTGGCCATTCATGCTTCCTTTGGTCCATCAAAAGACGTCTTGCATATTAACAGATAATGCAGCCTTTTTTTTTTCCTTTAGAAAGGCACCAGATATTTCTATTTTCAATTAATGTATTCTGGCATCATATGTAATTTATTGTCTGTAGAAAACCAGCCCAAACTTCATTCAAAGAAATGTCAAATAGTCACAAGCTGTGTTCAGGCCAGATAGAGCTAGTGAAGTCAGCATGTCTGTAGAAAACCAGCCCAAACTTCATTCAAAGAAATGTCAAATAGTCACAAGTTGTGTTCAGGCCAGATAGAGCTAGTGAAGTCAGCATGTCTGTAGAAAACCAGCCCAAACTTCATTCAAACAAAACAAATGCCATTCTTTTTATTATTTTTTGTTTTTATTTTTTTTCTCATTTCTTCACATGTATCAACTTCAACAAAATTCAGTAACAATTTTATCCACCAGCCAGCTCTCTTTCAAATTTCTCAAGTGTACCAATATTTGAAAAGTTATTACAGCATAAAATTCATAGTATTAATAGAAAGTATATTCAAAATTCTCACCCTCAATTTTTCTACCTCACAAATTCTTGGGACATTTATCCTTATTGAGAATATTTACTTAAGAATTTCAGGCTTGCACACTTCATCTATAGTTTGCTGTTGGTGCCTGTAGATTTCTTGACTGTATGAAGCTATACATGAACTGTTACAACACTACTTTATTGATCTGCTGTCACGCATGTATCAATATGATCATCTATGTTCAACATATCCATGACTTAAAAGTTAGAAAAAAATTCAAAAAAATTTAAGTTACCTTGATTGCAATTATATTGTAAATGTCGATGAATAGCAAGTGTAAAATTGCTGTGAGAAATAATGATATATGTAAGAAATAATGATGTAATAGACAACTTCTATATACAAACAATCAAATATACAGGATTCTGTCGGTAATGTTGCATATTGATTTTTTTTGTCAGTTTTTATGTCTACATTAGTACACATCGTACAGTTATTTTAAACTAATGATGATGACTCTACACAGACAGAAAACCTGTTAAATGTATGTTATTGTCAGTCCTCGCAAGCTTTGTGGAAATAATTCTCATCAGTAATCATCCATTACCCTTTTCCAAAAAATGTTCTCTCCCATTCCATCAATCATTTCATTATAAACAATCCTTATTTATTCAAATTTTAAACTGTTGGGAGGAAGTTTCACGACTTAATTGTCCCACTTACATAATGTTGCCATCCATTAGACAAAGTATCATCAAAGTAACATCTTAGTCCTTACAAGTCCTCGCTCTCTCGCTGTCCTAGTCAAAAGTTACATCAACAAAAATAAAACATTGGACATAGACCTGGTCATATCAACTGTTCTGGTGATCTACCAAGTCATCAGAATAAACTTTGAACAAAATTAATAATCTGCCATTATAGCAAGGTCTCATGTTTTAAAAGAACCAGAATTGTTTAGAATGTTTGAAAATTGTCAATGTTTTTATTTTCAATATCTGTATAGTAAACAAAACAATATAATGCATGCCATTTATCTTTATTTCTAAAAAAATCCTTTCATTTAGAGTCTGTAAATGATTATCAATAACATTAAACTCAACTTTTCAATTGATCCTATCTGACCCACAATCATCAATTTTCTATAGATAAAATATAAAATCATCAAGCACTTGAGGTAAAAATATAAAATTATTTGTACAATTTTGTGTAGGAAAAACATTGTGACAATTTCAAATTTATGTCGATATCTTGAACCATCAAAATGAAATGAAATATTTTTTAACTTAAAATAGAAAATAAATAAATGGAAACAAATAACAAGTTTCTTGCCCTCGCCATGGTTTAAACATATGTACATGGGAGGGCTGTGCTTTGAAAGCACAAATATAATAACAACACATCAAAGACTTGCTTGTAAGATGCATAACCTCAGACTTCTGATGATAATTAAAAAAAACCACTTGCTCCTGAGGTTCATTATAATCATAAAAAAAAAACACGGTACTAACCGTTTACAACACATACTAAACATAAATGAAAACATTTCAAATGAATTTGTAGACGACAAACTGAACAACAAAAACATATACATGTTGTCAGATTTGCAATTCATTTTTTTTTGTTTTTATATATCTTAAATTTTTTTTGTACATTTCCCTGTACAAATTTATTCCAATAATAATACAAATATATTATTACCACACTCAACAATCTGATGCATATTACATTTAGTCTATACACAGATTGTATATATCATACAGAAATACAATGACTCAAGAGATTGCTCCATCTTTTCAGTAAATTGTCCAGTTCCTTCACAGCCGTGAAAGAATTTACTTCCCTGCCAATTTGCTGATCAGAGTTGCTTTCATCTCTTTTGCTAGTTGTTCCATTTCTGTGATGCGTTCACGGAGTTTTGCATTCTCAGCAACCAATCTCTCCGCCTCCTCTTCCATGTTCACATACTTCTGTTTGCGAATTTCCCGAGACCTCCTGGATGCGATGTTGTTCTTTACGCGCCTCTCTCGGTACTTCTCTGCTGGGGCAATCTTAGTTGTAGGTTTTTCGAAGTCGAACACTTCATCCTCCATAGCAGAAGATGTAGATGTACGAGGTTTCTTGGAGACATAGTCATGATCAAAGCTAGCTGAAAATGGCTCTGTCTCCTCGCACACTACATCACGCTTACGTTTCAGGGAACTTGTCTGGACAGGTTCCTCAACTACTTCAGGCTCTGGTGGTGTCAGTGAAACCTCTTCAGGTTTACCAAGGTTTGAATCCTCCTATTGAACAAAAAGGTTTTTGATATATAATCTTTTTTCACATGATAAATAAATTTCGAAGTAAATCTGTTATTGTGAAGAGAGATCTGTGACCTTGAGTTACATTAACATCAGACAAATCCAGCACAAATGATAAATACTTACCAGCTGGAGGAATCCTGTCAGATCCATGAAGCTGTTGAGGTACTCGTCATCAACATCATCAGAAAGGGAAGTAAGCATATCAAGGACATCACCGCCCATCTTATCCAAACAAGGCTCATCCCCCTCATCAGTAAAATCGGTTTTCAGGTCAAAGGTCGTGGCAGCTGGATCAGGTTTGATTCCAGCTAGCTCTGTAAGACATAAATATAAACAATATTCATTTTCAAGTATTATATCATGCAATTTTCATACCCGATAATTTAATATCACCATGACTTGTTTGTGAATATAATTTCTGTATGAATGTATTTGCAATATTTTCTTTCCACAGATTATATACATAAATATAATATACCCGTTTTATATTCAAGCAATTTTTACCATAACATAATTATAATCTGTCTTCATTTCAATAACTTCCGCGTACGTTGGCGACGATTACTTTTGTTTGGCAGGTGCCCTGGTTAGAGATAAATATTTGTACACGTGACCCAGAGTTTTAATCACACGTGACCTCTCTACCTTCAACCGGCCCAATCCCTGTCCCGCCATATTGGAATAGCTTGACAGCTCTCATTAAGCGCATTGCGTTAGTTAAGAAAAGGTTATTACCTCTCCGACACTGCCTAATTTTCAGAGACAAACATTCTTGGTTATCGTCACTATATATTTACAATAAATGTACTTACCGTTGTCAAATAGGCCACTTGGATTCTGTACCAAATGTAGAGAATTGTTGGAATGTGGGGATGGTGGCATCTGAAACGAGTCCGTGAACAGACTCAGATCCAAATCCTCCAGCAAGTCCAGCCCCGATGTCCAACATGTCGACGAGTTCGTCGACGCTTCTGGGGACGATGCCATGTTCGGCGACGTCGTTGATGCTAATCGTTTGTTCAAACATTTCCTTAAATTCTGGCGAATCGTTGGGTCTCCGTGAGAGTGAATTGTTACGATTTGACGCAACTTTTCTATCTTGGACTTTAACTTCCAAGTGGCTTTCGGTTTGCGATCTTTCCCTTGGCTTCGTGCGAGCTCAGTGGGAAGAGACGGCTTCTCGGTCACTCTTTCCTTTCTGACGGCGCCGGGCTTGGCCGGGACTAGAAAGTGAAAGAAAAAAATATATATCAAACTTTTCATGTATTTTTTAGAATATTGATTAAATAAACGCTTAAATAACATAAAACGCTTGGGGGATATCGTATTGGGTCTGTTCATAATGATCTTCATCGTGAGAATTACACCACAATTACCTGGCTTGGATTTACTGGGTTCTTCCTCCTTGCCTTACATTCGTGTTACTGACGTTTGTTACACCGGCACCGCTACTTATGGTGCAATCCTTGATACTATTTTTAAAAATGATGTCTTCCGGTAGTAACTGACCAATCGTATCATCAGGATTCGACAGGCGCCGGTAAAAATAACCATTACGTTTAATTTTCCCCTAAATAGAAAATAAGACATTCGGAATCTTTCAGAGATTTACCTATTGTCTTGAACTAAACAATGCAGTTTCCGAAAAGACGGCATGGCTATTCCAGAAAGTAACCCACCCTTCGGTTTTCCTTCATTGACAATAAATCAATTTAATCGTATAATTTTGTATCCTTATTTCTAACATCCCAACTGAAATTAACAAAACAACAGATAAGAGGAAGATATAATCGTGTATATGTCAGGAGTGAAATACATATTAAATAAACTTCTTCATCGGTCGTGTCATTTAAAGGAAAAGCCGGGTGCTACGGGTGACCTAACTCAACAATACACACATTTGCGCTGACACAATTTTACCAACAACGATTGATTTACAGACCTGTACATACAGTAACATTGATACATAATTAGTATGTATTAGTAATTTTTATCAACCGACACTTTAAGAAATACAATATTATTAATGTATATTATCTTTTTTTTTTTTTTTTACAAAATCAGTGTTGTCTAAAAGTGAACAATGTTTGTGATTGAAAAAAAAAGATAATTATATTAAGTCGTGGTTTGAAAACCAGATCAAAATCGTCATTTTAATATGTGTATAAGATATTGTCGTTGTTACCGTGTTAATATAGTTAACTTACCACGGTAATTCTACACATTTACTAAAGCATTATCACTCGTCACGAAATCAGGAAATCAGCCACTGAGATTAACTTCTTACTCTGCTCAGAAGTCGATTCCCTGCCCCTGATTTTATCTGTAGCATCTGAGAAGGCTGCTGGTGGAGGTTGTGACATTAAATAATGACGCTATAGTTGTGCAGAGAACCAACTTAAATACTCGACCCCTAAAGTATACGTCAGCTCTACTTCTCTAGAACGTTCCTACAAGTTCAAGAAAGCTGAGTCTTCTAGAATTTTTTAAGGTCGATATTATTATATGTACACCGACATTGAGTATTATTATGCATGCCCAATCCACGATTCTAGCGTTTTCTACTGGTCTTCACCAGAAGTCTCCCTCATCTCTCCGGCCGTCACAGCCAGTCGCTAGTCAAACTGTTTTTGACAAATTAACAAAATTCAGTTGCATATGGCAAAAGCATATTCTATCATGTGTGTAATTGATGTTTTCACGGTAAAAATATGCAAATATAGCTTAGAATTATTGTTGTCAACGCGCAGGTTTCATAAACTGCACTTGGATTTTCAGTGTTGTACATTGTATTTATAATGGTCGTTGTGTACAGGTTTGCAGAGTTGTATATAGATAATATTGATACTGGTCGTTATAAACAGGTTTTACGGAATTTTTATTTCTGTAAACACACAGATTTAATAAAGTTGTATATATTAATGTTAATCGTTATGTCCACATGCAGTTTTTATTGTTGTACGTTTATATTTATCCAACTACTCATAACACAGATTTTATAAAGTTTTATCATTTTTTATGGTCGTTATGCACAGGTTTTATTTGGACTGTGGTCTCCGTTGGTACAGGTGCTATATGCTTTAAGTGTTCGATTTTATGTTTGACAACACAGACCGATAGGCGAGTCTTGTACTGTATCTACCTACCATACCCTCTTATTAACATCGGACTTAGTTCAGGGTCCAACGATAGGACTATTTCAACAGAGAAAGGTTTACCTACCGATATGATAAATAAAGGTCGATGTCACCGATATATACATATCTTTGTTTAGAATTTTATCTTCTAGCGGCGAAAAGACCTATGCACGAGCTTTACTGAACCCTACAATTAAGGACTGGTCAACAATATTTAAATCTGCCAATGTTATTGACGGGTAAATATCTGTGCTGATGCAATGTCTCGAAACTCCGTACTGCGCATAATCGGGTAGGTCAACTATTATTAGCAAATAGTGGTGCAATACGGGAAATTGGCTTTCTGCCAAGTGTCCTAGTTTTACTATTTGTTGTGATGACGAAATAATTATTGATAGAGTTATAATGTAGGCTTGGAGGTAAAAATGGGAGTCACGCCTCGTCGACTTTCTGTGACGTACATCTAGGAGGAGGGCGTGAGGTTAATTAAGATGAAGTAGCTATGTAAGGGCAGTGTTTCATTCTGGAGTCCAGAGCCATGTTGTCAAAGGGATGGTCAGTTTTAACCTCAATGTGATGACATCGGTTATAATAGACATGTTCGACATAAAATTAAATAATACTAATAAACGCACATACACAGGAAAGGCGAAAATCTTAAATGTTCGTACAATTGTTGATTTTTGTGGGCCGTGATTTCGGTAGATTAGGAGTCGGTAAGCTTGTTATTATGCCGCTCGGGTTTGGAATGTAATCGGTGACCTGATAACAAACAAAATGATGAAATAAATGAGAAGGAAGGTGAAGGTAGTTGACAGGTCACGTGCTGTAAAGACCTCATCAAACTAAGCCTTGTTATTTCGGTGTTCTACTAGTAGCCCGTGTTACGTACATATATTATCAATCAAACATAATTTGTTTCCGATTTAAACAGCACGCGCCATTAGTGTGATAAGTAACAGCCTGCATAAAGATTGTATTGATTGGAATGATAAAGCAGGAATAGGAAACAGTTGAGTGTGTCAGAAAATCAGTTTGAACCAGATTCTCCAGCCAACTAGAACCCTAGACCACATCTCAACCGACAAATATTTTCAATCACTACCCAGCTGTTTGCATCCCAGGAAACTTATACTCCGTACAAAAAGTAAACAGAGAAACCAACATGGATGTAACTGACCGACATCAATATTTCATTTCTTTCATCTCAATATAGACTAGATTGTATAAACTAGATCTAATTCCAGCTGTTTACCTTACAATATAGACTGGACCTGTGTAATCTGGACATTGTATAAATCAGATATAGATCCAGCTGTTTACCTTACAATTTAGACCGGACCTGTGTAATCTGGACATTGTATAAACCAGATATATGTCCAGCTGTTTACCTTTCAATATAGACTGGGCCTGTGTAATCTGGACATTGTATAAATCAGATATAGGTCCAGCTGTTTACCTTTCAATATAGACTGGACCTGTGTAATCTGGATTCTATATAAATCAGATCTAGGTCCGTCTGTTTACCTTGCAATATAGACAGGACCTGTGTAATCTGGACATTGTATAAATCAGATATAGGTCCAGCTGTTTACCTTACAATTTAGACTGGACCTGTGTAATCTGGACATTGTATAAATCAGATATAGGTCCAGCTGTTTACCTTACAATATAGACTGGACCTATGTAATCTGGACATTATATAAATCAGATCTAGGTCCAGCTGCTTACCTTTCAATATAGACTGGACCTGTGTAATCTGGACATTATATAAACCAGATCTGTGTCCAGCCGTTTACCTTACAATGTATACTGGACCTATCTATCAAATCTAGGAACGCTTGGTGTACATTTCATTTTTCAGTTTTCCATTCTATGCAAGCCGTTTGTTATTGATAAGGACACAAGTATCTATAGTATTACAGTGTGGATTTGGACTTGCTGACGTCAGTACTACTTGGCTTAGCAGGAAATTTACATGACATCTGCCTGGTTTTGTTTTGATTCAATTTGTTGTAAAGATATTTGAGGACAGAGTAAGACTGAGAAATTGTTACCCTAACAGGTGCCTTTCTATTTATCTTCCACCCAGATTGGATTCATTACAACTGTACATCCCATTTGGTAACAGGTCGTTGTTTAAATAGACCCATTTGTTTGGCAGTACAAGATGGTTCCAGGTGATGAAAATATACACAAAAAAGACACAAAACAGAACGGTTTATGAGTAGTTTGTACTTTATTATTCACAAATTTAAACAAGTATCTACTACAAGGTAAACATATGTAATCCTGCTGTAATACACTTAGTACACAGAACTAAGACTGTACACGTTAACACAGGTCAACAATTATACAGGTCCGCCATTACAGGAGGGCAAAATGTGACGCAAAAAAGTGCTATGTACGGCATGTTTGAGGGAAAAAAATAAAAAAATAGCTGATAATGCCACCAACGATGTAAGTTTCAGTCTCACATGATCAGCGAACAGACTTATCGATCCTTCCATTCATCCCCTGAATCCATCTCAACAAGGATGAACCAAATCCCCTACAATGATTAAATGAAACTTTAAAATACCACACTTGTTTTTAAAGAAAAGAACCATTTCAAACTAAGAAATCATGTTCAATGGAACTACACATGATCTTAAATACCCGTGTTAATATAACTCCTCATTACCAACTTCTTATTAACAATATTTTTATCTACTAAACACAACAGGATGAATTCAACATCAATCTGGTTGAGGAAGATATGACAAGGATTTTAAAACAGTTCCATTTGTTCAATGATATTTTTAAAATTCAACAGTGTACATGATATTTCAAATAATAAAAAAAAAATCATGTGCTATCATTTAACTTGTTTAAAGTTTCAACATTGGCTGCAAATTGCATTAGATAGATTTACAACTCCCTTCTAGCTTTTAGAGTGTACCAGTGTACAACTGATCCCATTCCAGGATTGTCTCCCCTTATTTCACTGGCCAGTGACCCAGTGTGTCAACAATTCATTGTACAAACATCTCACTTCCATACTTAATAAATTCATATCTTTTTATAATCAGAAACTGTTTTTCTACTGGCCTGCAGAATTTCTTCCTGAAGTAAATCTGAGGATACATAAAATAAGAAATTGTAAATACATTACAATACAACACTCATGGATTGACCTATCTACTCTCCGTGATACAGCAGTGTGGAAAGGTCACATATTACTACAGAAACAATCTACATGAGGTATAATCTGATAATTATTTACATAACTGTACCAATATTCACCAACTCTCTGAATTTCT